AAATATAAACGCGTACTTTTTCATGTTGTGGCAATTAATAGTGTAGGATATCGCGACGTCTATAGCCTTATTGCGTTAATTACGACGTTTTAAAAGATATTATTAGAAAATGAAAATACTGATGTAGGCCTATTTGATTGAACAATCTAGGATTTAGAAAGAGAGGGGGCCGGCCATTATTAGAGAGAAGAGAGATTGATTTAATTGTGATGTGTGTTTGATTCACCCCATTATGCCTTTATTTATAGTAGTAGGAATGGTAAAACCTTTCCCTTTAGAATCACAACATTTAATAGGTAATCTAATTCTAATAGGAATATAAGATACATTCTCAGATTCCCTAGGATTTACACAATCACATTCCTATTCTAAATATGACTGCAACACTCCCTCTTAAGTATGTAAATACTTAACAAACCATCGCATCAGATCTTCAGCAGATATAGAATAATTGATGAAGTCATCGGTACAATGGGTGATCGCGAGTCTCAAATTTAAGTGAAGTATGCATTTGTAGCAAAACTCACAAAACCTCGCTATGGTAAAACCCAAAGCATGGGGAAAAACCCATACACTAAGGAGAAAAGTGAGAAGTATGCATAATGTCTAAAAACGAACGTCAAACTGGACGAAGGCAATGAACTCAATGGAGTATGATCATCCCAGGATGGGTGCCTCATTAAAACCTCGTTAGGTAGCAAAAACCCAGTGGGAAAATGCTCATAATCGTAGGGAAAAAAAGTACATTAAGATCATGTGAGTATGCTTTTAGTTACTCCCCCTGAATTAGACATAACTTCTAAATAAGAGAACTATAAGCAATTCAACTTAGATAATTTACACATACTGATTCCTTGGACGAGCTTTTGAAATGTAGACTTGGGTAATGACTTGGTGAAGAGATCGGTCAGGTTGTCTTGGGAAGAGATTTGCTTGACTTCAATGTTTTGATGCTTCTGCTATTGGTGTGAGTAAAAGAACTTTGGCATTATGTGTTTGGTGTTGTCCTCCTTTGATGTATCCCTTCTTCAGCTGCTCGACACATGTTGCATTGTCTTCAAAGATCGTCGTAGGAAGGTGAACGACTGATGTAAGACCACTAGTGCTTCGAATATGTCCCATAACTTCCCTCAGCCAAAAGCATTCACGCGATACTTCATGTAGGGCGAGAATCTCAACATGGTTAGACGAAGTTGCAACTAGCGTTTTCTTGGTAGACCTCCAAGATATAGCGGTGTCTCAAACGGTAAAGACATAACCCGTTTGAGAACGTGCTCTATGTGGGTCAGACAGATATCCAGCATTTGCGTAACCAACAAGGCGAGAATCAATCTGAGAGCTATAGGGGGTGGCATTACTCGGAGATTCGTGGGTATAAAACAAGCCCAAATCCATAGTACCCTTGAGGTAACGGAAAATGTCTTTAACACCATTCCAGTGCTTGCGTGTGGGCGCATTGATGTATCTAGCCAATAGATTCACAGCGAATGAGATGTTAGGTCTAATGCACTGAGCCAAGTACAATAAATCCCTAATTGCACTTAGGTAAGGAACTTCAAGTTCCAAAATCTCTTCCTCATTCTCCTTTGGACGGAAGGGATCTCGTTTAGTATCTAAAGTCCGAACGACCATGGGTGTACTCGAAGGCTTCGCTTTATCCTCATTAAAATGACGCAACACCTGTTGGGTGTAGTTCGATTGATGTACTAGGATTCCATCCGAACAATGCTTGATCTCCAGGCCAAGACAGTATCGAGTTTTCCCAAGATCCTTCATTTCAATTTCCTATTTCAAGTGTGCAGCAATTTCCTCAAGCTTTACGGGAGTCCCAATAAGGTTCATGTCATCGACATAAACTGCAACGATTGCAAATCCGGAATGTGACTTCTTTATTAACACGCATAGGCATAGTTCGTTGTTCACATAACCCTGACTTGTCAAATATTCACTCAGACGGTTATACCACATCTGCCCGGATTGTTTCAATTCGTAGAGTGACCTCCTCAGCCTAATTGAAAAAGTGTTCCGTGGTCTAGAACTATTTGAGCCAGTCAATGGAAGTCATTCTGGAACTTTCATGTAAATTTCTATATCTGGATCCCCATAGAGATATGCAGTTACCATGTCCATAAGCTGCATATTCAGTTTTTTCAGAAACTACCAAACTGATTAGGTAGCGGAACGTTATAACGTCCATACAGTGGAATACGTCTCCTCGTAATCAATCCCAGGGCGCTGAGAAAAGCCTTGCGCTACGACGCGTGCTTTGTATCGCACTATTTCATTCTTCTCATTACGCTTCCTCACGAAAACCCACTTGTAGCCAATGGGCTTCACGCGTGGTGGTCACGTCCATAAATTGCATATTCAGTTTTTCGAAAACTACCAAACTGATTAGGTAGCGGAACGTTATAATGTCCATTACGGGGGAATACGTCTCCTCATAATCAATCCCAGGGCGCTGAGAGAAGCCTTGCGCTACGAGGCGTGTTTTGTATCGCACTATTTCAATCTTCTCATTATGCTTCCTCACAAAAACCCACTTGTAGCCAACGGGCTTCACGCATGGTGGTGTAGGAACGATAAATCCAAATACTTTACGTTTCGCGAGCGAATTGAGTTCGATGATACAACAATATTAAACTAATACGAGCAAGGTGGGGAGCTTTTATTTATTCTATTTGATGTTATTTTTTCAAATGAAGATATCAAGATTTAATCTACAGATGTTTAATTAAGGTGGGGAGCTTTTATTTATTTATTTTTTTATAATCATTTATACAACAATACTAAACTAATACGAGCAAGGAAAATAATTATACACAAGTTAGATGATACAAAAGAAGTGCGAATCATTTTCTCTAGCTATTCTTCTTTTGAATGATTCCAAAGCTCCATGTTAAGGAGAAATCACTTTTACTTGGTCCTTCAGGAAAACTGACTGTACATGATCTTGCCGACTGTTGCATATTATCAACCCAAAAGCTTGTGAAAAGTTATTCCAACTCAAGACTGGGATATGTAGTTCTTTCAAAAGTATCCTCGTCTTTTAACAACGTCTCCCACCAATCATTTCCATTCTTTGTCAACGATGTTTGTGATGGCGTACTTCTAATAACTATAATATGTGCATGTGTGTGAGATGGTTAGGATGTATGTGAGGTAGTTAAGTTGGTTAAGAGTCTATGGTGTAAGGTTGTGACAAGTGTCAACATCTTAAGAGTCTTATGTTAGCTTAGTATCTAAGCAATGTAGCTAGATATATACACAATGTAATCAGTGTTAATGTTGTTAAATTGAAAAGGAAATAATACATACATTTTCTTCCTCTCTCTCTCTATCTCTTTCTTCCTCTCTGTTTACAACTTCAATCTTCTACTGATTGAGTATGGTCCAGAATTGATTCTTTAGTGCTCAAGTTATAAGAACTTTAGGTGACGCTTCGGGGTTAAGGTCTTATCACAATGTTCTTTCTCATTTCTTGGGATTTATTTTTCACCGTTTTCATCCGAGAGTTCAACCGTAATTGAGTGTTCCAATAATTTTTCACATCATTCGCTGTTCTTCCTGGAAGTCTTCCAGCAATCAAAGACCACTGATTACATAACATGAAGGAAAAAAATGATGATTACGTTTGGGTGAAAAATAAGATGAACAAAAGCAAAAAGAAAAGTCAGATTGCACAAACATTAAGAAATGGAGTCGGCCTATTTGTTTTTATAGTTGTCCATTTGAAGGACCAAGATTCAGATAGCTCTTTCCGTGTAGCCAAAAGCCCGCCCGCTCGGTTTATGAGCCCCTTTTCGATTCCCTCACCCAATCTCATGATAAGCAAGCCCAGCAGGCGTGCTCAGCAAGAACCTGCTTAAGCATATTTTTTTGGCTAATTGAATTGCCGCGGTGCTGTGGGAACCCTGACCTCCATTTCTATCTGTGCAAGAGACGATTTTGAAATACTTTCTTTTTCCTAAGAAAATATATTGAAGAAGCTTTCTCTTCACGCCTATGACGCCCTATCCGCTTTTCAGGTTGTAATTTGTAAATTCCTCTTATATGCCTTCGCAAAGCTCATGGAAGGCCCTTGTAATCCTCTTCATCTAACATTTTGTAGTCTATTTCTTACTAACTTGGTTTTAATCCCTTATGAGGACTTGAAAATGCCTCACCCAAAGATAGCCTAAATGAATTCATATTCATGTTGAAGAATTTGGATGTGATTAGACATGAAAGAAACTTCTCCCTTCAAATCTTATCATCTTATCACTTTGAAGTGATTAGAATGAACGCATTTTCTTTATGAGTGACTCATTGTTTACCTTCAAATTGGAGGTATATTGAAGGTAGAGCAGAATGATTGTTGAGGGGTCTGAAGGGGATTAGACTTGAAGGAAAGTTCTCCCTTCTAATTCTACTATTCGTGAGGAATTTGAATGGATAAGTTGTTGTCTATTCTGATCCACCCTCTATACTAGCTGAATATACAAAATCATAAAGTTTTGTTAAGTCGAGTACGATTAAAAGCATGAAAATGACTTTACGTACAAAAATTATTACGAGATATTTATCTTCCATAGGAAACATTGTTTGAGTTTACTCATGCCCTTTCAGACAAAAAAAATTATTTTTTTCGGTCAAATAGAAACTAAGATTTATGGTTTATTGCTACGGTCTAGTGGTATTCATTTTCACTTGTAAGTGAAAGGTTTTAGGTTCGATTCTCACCAAATGCAAGTTTGAACCATATTATTGCTAACTCATTATGAGGCTAAACCCATCACCTCCTCCCTTAATGTAGATAATATCATTTGTTAAAAAAAAAAAAAGTATCAGGTCTAAAGTTTAATTTTAAAAAATGACGAGTGTGATACTTATTTATTATGGATAATTTATTGTTTGGTTTTACCCAAAAACAACTCTGCCCCTCTACGGTGTAATATTATAATATTAAAAAAAATGAAGAGTAAACTGGAGACAAGTTCAATTTTGTGAGTCAAATCCAATGAGATCAAATAGCCTTCTAATTCATGATCAAATAAACTCATTTTTCTAGTATATCATCGCAAGTAAGTAGTCATCTCTATTACTTCAACTCATAAAAGATGGTTCTTATATCTCAAATTGTTTAATAATTAATTGTAATGATATGGACATTGTTGGTGAATCAACTCCACCTTAACTCTCCACGATGGCCCATCGACAAACTCCTAGTCCTCATGGGAGATCCGAAAACACCTTCGATGGGACTCCAAAAGAAGGTCACTCAAGTGACCAAGTAAGTAAAGAAGAAGCTCTCTTACAATAATTAACACGTCATGAAAGGTCTAAGGCTTTTGGGAGCACTGTGAAAAGAAAATTGAACTGGTAAAGTTAAGGGGGTGTGCAATTAGTGCAACCAAACATTTAAGGCTGACCCAAGTAAAATGGTACAACCATTATAAGTAATCATTAACAAGATGTAGAAGCTGCCCTTCTAATGTGGAAATATTTGCCACAAATAGGCAAAATATCTTAACTTCTGCTACCAAGAAAGATAATTTGGAAGCTATAGGTTTTGCCAAGAGGAAGTCACTAAGCTTGTGTTGAGATGATAGTTTTTACCTTTTTTTTTATCAAGGGAGAAGGTTTTTTTCCATTTTTGTATGCAAGCATGTCATATGTGAAGAGTGCTTAATCATAAGACAATTGCTAAGGATGTACTTGGCTTGTTTTATTACGAAAAGGATAAACTAAAAAGCTAATTGAAGACATTCAGAGTGTGACTAACAACGTATACATGGATTTCTATTCAACAAACAAATTACATGGTTCTCACGGCGCATTTTATTGATAATGATTGGATGTTACATAAATTCTTTTTGAATTTTTGTGTTACTCAAAATCATAAAGGAGAATCCATTGCTCAACTTTTGGAGGAATGTATGGTGGAGTGGGAATAAAGAATGTGTTAACTATTATGGTTGACAATGCCACCGCAGATGATTCCAGTTTAAGGGACTTAGTGCATCAAATAAATGGAGACTTCCTAATGCATTTTTGCATGATGAAAAATATTTGCATATGAGGTGTGTTGCTCATATCCTTCATTTAGTTGTGAATACTGGGATAAAATTGTTGATTATGGCCATACAAAACATTCGTTATGCGGATAGGTATGTAAGATCTTCCCCTCGAAGGTTCGAGCGCTTTAAAAGGTGTGTTAGAAAGTGGGGATAGATATCAAAAGGCTTGTGATTTTTTTATGTCCCTATTCGGTGGAATTCCACATTTTTTATGTTGGAACCGGCTTTGAAGCTTGAGATGGTATTTTTATTTATTTATTTATTTATTTTTATAGATTTAAAGATGATGATCATTACCTTCCTTATTTTATTAAAGACTTGATAATATAAGGAAGGGGCCACCTTCAACAGATAATTGGAGTGACATGGGGATATTTGCAACGTTTTTAGACCTTTTTATGAAGTCATTTTAAAATTATGTTGTCCCAATATTCCAACAATTCATAATACTTTTGGTGAATTGATTAAGATCAAATGTCTCTTGCATAAAAGAAAGATAATGAATTTTTGTCTATGATCTTCTTGGTGATGCAAGAAAAATATGACAAATATTGGGTTTCAATTAAGGATAAGAATCAATATGTTTTTGTTGCACTTATGCTTGATCCTCACCATAAATTGGATAAGGTTGTTGATTATTTTAAGATACTATTTGGTGACCAAAAGGTTGAAAGTGCCACAAATGCGGCGAAAGATTTCGTGATTGATCTTTACAAGATTATGAAGATGTGTCTTACACTACAAAACAAAGTATGAGTATGGTGGTTGTAGTTCTCAAATGGCAACGACAAGGTAGAGATTTTTCATCAATCATGACTGAAACCAAAATAAAGTTGAAAGAAAAATGTGAAATGAGGAAAGTAAAGAAATGCCGAATTATACACAATGATGTGGATAGGTATGTTGCAGATCCTAATGAAAGGGAAAAAGAGGCAAACTTTGAGGCATTGAATTGGTGGAGGGTGAATGAGGTATCTAAATATCCTATTTTGACACGTGTTGCAAGAGATATTTTAACTATTCACATATCAACCATTGCTTCAGAATCCTCCTTCAGCACAAGTGGGTGGATAATTGATTCGTAAATAGTTCGTTGATTCCAAAAATGGTGGATGATTTGATATAAACCAAAATTGGCTTAGGTTTATCCATGTTGCATTACATCATGGGTTAACCATTGAGGAGAATGAGTTTTGTGAAGAGGTTGAGAAAGGTAATCTTATTTATTGCATGAATTATTTGGTTTTGGTAGATTATTTTAAAATAATGTTTTAATTATATATATTTTTTATTTGTATGTAGAAATGACAAGTGAAAATTAAACAAAAAGTGTTATGTTGCCCCCTAGGCCGCCTAACATTAGCAACAAACTCTCGTTCAAGTTTGAAATGGTTTGGTGTTGAAGTGTTAAGCTTGAGGACTTGAAGAAATGTGCAAGACATGGAACTTTGAATGTTTACTTGAAATTATGATTCTAGTTGCAATGTTTACTTTTAAGTTTATAAATATTTCTTTGAAGTTTAGACTTAAGAATGTATATTTTAAGCGTGGAAGACTTGAAATTTGAATGTATATTTTAAGGGTGGAAGATCTGAACTTCGATGTTTATTTTAAATACATTTGAACTTGGAATGTTTACTTTTAAAGGTGGAAAACTTGACCTTGGAATGTTTATTTTATTGTGATTCTAGTTGGAATTGTTAAGCTTTGAATTTTTTTAAGTACTAAAAATTTGAAATGTTTATTAAAAAAACCGAACCAAAATAAAAGGGAACAAAGAAAACAGAAAGAAAAACTGAACCGAATTGAACAGTGACTTCAATTTGATTTTTGGTTTCAGCAAAAAAAATTAAACCAAACGAAACCTAACCCATTCGGATATATGATGACATATAAATTTTCTTTGAATATTTTCCATAAAAGTGGTTAGATTTTCATATTTAATATTCAAATTAATAATTTAAGTAAAGATGCATAAATTAAGAAATTTAATAAAAGTTGAAAATTATAAAAATTGGACTAAATCCAAAAACAACTTAAATTTGTAAGTGGCACTTTACCACAGTGGTGGAAATGTGTCGAGCCCTTACATGATGGCGTAAGTTTGAACCCTATGTGTATAATCATATTTTCAGTGTTTGGTGGTGGCGACGATGAGGTACATTTAGAAGTGGGAGATTCTTATGGTGGTGGCGGCGATCTGGTACATGAGGGGGTGAAAATGGAGTCATGCCACCAAGCAAGTGAGGTGGTCGGTGAGAAAGAGTAGGCGGAAGGTTAAGGGTCGGAGGTGGAAGACAAAGAAATGACTTTTGAATTGCCTATTAATTTTGATTTTGATTTCTCATATTTTATTCAATTAATTCATTTAACTGGGATCCTTATTACAGCTTGAGCAAGTAGAATTCCTAGTGACTTGATTTTTTGAGCGAGTCTACCTGGTATTTCCATTTTTTTTTTAACCAAAGATATTATCTACACTAATAGAATGGAATAGTAAGCTAAGTCTTACAATAGGTTAACAATAATTTAATTCAAATTTGTCTTTTACGAGAATTGAACTTAAGATCTCTCATTTATAGGTAGAGAAAAATAACACTAGATTGGAATACCAAGTGGCAATGTTTTCTAAATTTTAAACCTAAATTAAAGTACCCAACAATGGAATTGGATTCCCTCCTAAGCAAATGGTGGGGATCCTCATGACCCACTAATACGGGTTGTTGAATTTTGATCCAACGGTTACAATTATTATAACTTTTAGACAGATCTCATGTTTGTAGCCATTCGATCAAATCCAACGGTCCGTGTTAGTGGATCATGAGGATCCCCACCATTTGCTTAGGAGGGGATCCAATTCCCCCAACAATGAATGGTTAATTATGACACTGGCCCTCCCTAATGATTTTGTGGTGTAGAATCTCATGCTATAAGATAGCAATTTTCACAAAGAAAAGTGGGACTCTCTATGAACTCTCCGTTAGCTCATGCTTTTGGCACTATGTTTTACAATGTTAGCACGGTAATTACGTCAAAAAAATGTGGTGACAGAGAGTCTAGAGAGAATCTCATTTTTTAAAGAATCTCCTTAGCATTTCTCATGCATAAAGTGTATGTAGTAAACGTCATAATAGAAGCATATGAGCTCAATTGATTATGGACATCAACAAGTACAATAATAAGGACGATGTGGAGTGTCCTTTAGCTAGGATAGGAAATGAGAGAGATGTTTATTTATTAATTAATACCTGTTTCCTAAAAGCTTGTGAAGCCTAATCGTAAGATCTACTTCATCCTCTGTGAAGTCCCCTCTCTTGATATTTGGCTTTAGATAGTTCAACCATCTTAATCTGCAGCTCTTCCTGCACGTGTTTAAGCCTGCATATACACAATGCAAAGTTTATAACATCTTTCTACGTACTGCGAATATGTCTGCAATGTGTTTTCTTGAGGAAGTTTCCGATGTGGGACTATCTGTCTCCGCGTGGCTATGTATGGCCGTTAGACGCATTAGCATGTTCTAAAGCATGCATTAATAAAAGCAGAACATCTGACTCGAAACGAATTGGCAGAAGGTCTTAGAATGAAATACTAATGGAATGCTTTACTAGCAATACACATATCCATGTTTCAAAGTTATATATACACGTTGACATACATATATACCTGCTTTGTTAGGAAGTTGGCGCCACTTTCCTTCTCCATGAATCTCAATGCACTGCCTGAGAAGATCATCTTCCTCTCGAGTCCAGGCACCTTTTCTCATCACACTCAAGTTAACGTTACATCCCTCCATCTCTTATTAACGTTACATCCCTCCATCTCTTATCTGCCTGCTAGCCACTTCAAAGCCTCCAGAAAGCCACCGAGCTACCATTATATGTAAATAGATAGTGTTTGACATAACAATAATGTTATGGATAACTCGAACTAACTAAATCAATGCCAGTGACGTGCCTGTCTGATATCCACAGAAGCAAAAAGTGACGAGTTTAAAACATTTCATCTGGAGTCATATGTTAGCTAGCAGTCTATTCTTTGAAAAATATTAGGAAAAATTAATGAAAATGATTTGAAAATTTTGAGTTTTAAAGATAAGGATAAAATAAAAGGTAAAATAAATAGTACTATAATTAACTTTTTAATATAAAAATATAATTTTTCTTTAAAATACAGAATATCATGAGCTTTTCGTTAATTTTTAAAAAAATATATGTATAGATTATATTATAATATTACAGAAAAGGCTAACAGTTCTGCATGATAAGGGAAGTCAATTTTCTAGGGCATAAAATTCTCTAGCTATAATATAATATTCAAAAGCACATTCTACGAATGTGAATGCAGAATCGTGTAACTAGTTACAACACACATCTTTCACCACTGAATATTCCTGCAGCTTCATATTTTCCGAGTGCAAGCTTTCGCTTCCTTTTCAGGTGCTTGTTTGCATGAGATTTTTTTCAATGTACTGAAAACATGATTTAATACATTAAGTGTCGTAATAAAATTAGTTAGAAATTTTTCTTTCAAGTTTTCAATTAATTATATTATTATTTGGTATTTTTTTAGCATGTGATCGGCACACTGAAAAATCTCTCGTTTGATTGTACTTGTCAAAACAAACAGAAAAAAAAAAAAAAAGAACCCTTAAGTTTACTGTCACCTTTTTTTTGGGTTGAAGCTACCGTCTGCCATGTAAAAGACAGAGGGAGGTAAATTGTCTGCCCTTCTATTTAGATGCCATTTTTATTATCTCTTATTTTTTACGATCACGGTTAAGTTATGTTAACATTTTATATTTTTATTGATTTTTGTCTTATTATCTCTATAAAAAATTAATATAAAATGTTAACGTGATTTAACCGTGATCGCATAAAATAAGAGGGAGTGGGAAGGGCACCCAATCTGCCTCAAAGACAGAGAAGCACGGGCACTATTTTTCTGTACCAAACCACCACAAAATTTTGACACCGCACCTAGCATTAATTGCTCAATAATTGGACTACTTCCTTCAACTAGAGATTTTCATTGTGCTTAGAAGTAAGAACACATGTCCGTTTGTCATATATTATCAAACAAATGAAGAGAACCTATTTTTTAGTGTTTTCTCATTTGTATAATGATATATTGCTATGTGCTATTTTTATGCACAATAAAAAATCTCTCCTGAGTATGTTCTAACAAGAGTCAGTCTCAGGTAATGTCCACTTAATAAATTTTCTAGGCATATTAAATTTATAGATCAAATTTTGTTAAAAATAAAAAATAAAACTAAGTGACATGATTTTATTGATTCATATCTTGGCTCACTGTTAAACAACTATATAATTATATTTTTGGTATTCGGAAATTGATATGTCATTAATTAGTAGACAAATATATATAATAGCCATGGACCAAAATATCGATAATATCGGCAATCATTTTTTTAAGATGACGATATTTCGTGACTTATCTCCTTAATTATTGTTAATATATCGCGATATGAAACCCAAAAATACTTGAAAATTTATGAAAAGTCTCAATCTTGCGCATAGAGGGATTCGAACCCCTCCTATTTGACTACGCCTTGACCACCATATCACTTATGTTTTTGTGAAAATATGCTAAAATATTTATATATATGGTTTTGTTTTGAATTCTTTTTGCAAGAAACAAATTTGCACATATTCCAAATTCTTTGTGGTATTATATTTTAAATTGTGTCAATTAATTATTTAGTCAATGACATGTGGTTTTTAATTTTTTAATTTTTTATTTGGTCACTTACATGTAGGGCTAGAAAAAATTCCCGAAAATCCCAAACCAAAACCATCCCGAAGTTCGGGAATCCCATCTCGAAAAATACCGAAATTTTCGATATGGGATTGGTTTCCAAATCCCATTTGTTTGGTAATCCCGAAATCCCGAAAAATACCAAAGTATTCGGTTTCCTATTGACTTTTGGATTTTGGTTCTTGAAAGCCATTGCCATGGTTGCTGACTACTCTTCACAATACTCTTACTCTGCAGATAGAGATGATGAAGATAGTGAAAATTTTGAACCTCATAGGAACTATATGTGGTACTAAGTAACTCATGTATCTTACCATGCAATGTATAAAGTGTAAAATATTGTACTAATTCATTATATATAAATGATTATGGTGTGTTTAAACTTCTTTCATTAATTACTACATATTTTCTACACTCGCAATGTTTGCCAGCTCGCTATATAATCAACTTAAATAAGTTAAATCCATCATGCAATGCATTTCCTTCCAATTTTTTGTGATAAACTAATAGATAATTGACTAAATAAACATCCTGCAAAGTTTCAATAAAATTTTCCTTTTTTCTTACAATTCCGTGGTTTTTATTCAATTTTTATCGATATCGATAATATCCCGATATTTCCATCGAAATTTCCATGTTTTTTTATTACCGATATTTTCGATATCATCGATATTTTAGACCATGATACCAGCCACATGTGGATTATCCCTCTTTCAAACTCAACACTGACCCCAAGAAATCACAACTATAACTACACAACATCGTAATCATGTAACTGTATAATATTGTTGAGAGTTGATGATGTAAGGACAAAATTTCCCACGATGGTGAGGGATAGGCCATGGCAAGAGGATATAAGATGTTAGGCTACTCTTTATATTGTCAATTAATTTTATGATGCAATTCAAATTTCTTCATAGTATCAGAACGAGTTGTCCTTTGTGTGAAAAACATACTCACACTTCACCCAATTTGTTATCCACATGTAAGCTTGAAAATTACCCACACTTAAAGGAACGTGTCAAGAGTTGACAATGTGGACAAAATATCCAACTTTGGTGAGGGATATACCAATGCAAGGGCTTATATGATGAGCTACTCCTCATATTGTCAACTGGTGTTATAGTCGAACCCCAACCTCTTTCACATATGACTCAAAAGATCATTTTCCTCTTTTAGTCCATACACCTTGTCTTACATGGTTACGCCCGAGTGATGCTCCATATCATATCGGTGTTTTATGCAAGTGATGAGTCGATTTTGTATTATATATTTTACCATGTTCTTAGTATGTTGGTATTTATTTTGGTGAGATTTTGATACTTTGATTTATATTTCGAATGTAGGACATTCGACTCATTTTTTAGCAAAAGGTTATTAAACAGATGAATTTTAGAGTAATTCCAATTGGAGGATGTTCACATGTCTTTCAACTAGTTCATAAGTTTTTTCTACCAAGCGATTAATTTATGGCAATGAAAAGGACTAGCGAGCGAGGTTGTCAAAACTAATACTTCGGGCTTATTTGGGTTTTTTGGCATTCAAGATGGTATCTTTTAGATTTGAGCCCTTCTGCAAATATGTTCAGAACTTCTTAAGCTATATATATATATATATATATAATAAAAAAGTAAAAAAATAAAGCATCTTGGGCTTATTTTGGAGCTGATTTAGGATTTGAACGTGGCTGATCTTTGAAGGGGCAAATTTCTCATAATTGATTGTAATTATATTTCCTAGTTTACTTTAACTTATTTTGTTTCCTAGTTTTTAGAAGACCTTTTCTAGAAGGATTTTATTTTGTAGTAGTATAAATAAGGCTAAGTAGCCATTAGGGTTTTCGACGCACTACTTTGGAGAATTCAGTTTAGAGAGTTTTTTGGCGATTCAAGTTTATTTACAAGGTGTTTTCTGTCCATGCTTTTAATACTATTTTGCTTTTTAATTATGATTGTGTGTAACTAACTTTCTTTTGCTAGGGTTAGGCCACGAGCTTTAGAAAGAATATGTAGTTTCTTTTCAATTTATTTATACCTGCATGTTTTGAACTAGTAATCACTGAGTTTAAACTATCTAATTGTCTTAATGCTTAGTTACCATTAGGATATTTAAAAAAGTAATTTGAAGCAATTTTGGTTGGAGGACTGTCCCTGAATTTGATGAAGGCTTCTTGTGGTAAATAATTGTAATTTTACTTAGGATGAATATCATGTCTTACGGGTTGCCTATTTTTTCAAAGGATATCATAAAGCTTAATGAGTCTTGCATGTTTAGATTTGATCTGAATACCAAAGATGGATTGCATGTTTGACAAACGTTTTAGATTGGAGGTCAAAGTAGAGCATACTTTAGGAAAACCTAACCTTCCAAGTATGCATGTATAAGTCATAAGTAATTGGAAGAAGTATGTTGGATTGTTAAGGTGACGGCGGAACCTTAGTGTTTTTACAACTCGATTTTCAAAAACCATTTTCTTTTGTTTTCTTTACTTTGCTGATTTCTTTAATTGTTTTAATTAAAATTCATTTTTATTATTTAAATTCCAAGATCAACCTTTTCTAACTTTTTTTCTTAAATAATTAACTAAGATTTGGTTTTAACATAAATTATTTTAAAAAATCCTTGTGGAGAATGACCTTACTTAAGCTATTATACTACGATTACCTTGTACCCTTACAAGTATTTTTAAGTGTTTTTATACCTACTTTTGCAGGTAGTAAAAATCCAATCAAGAAATTGGCGCCATTGTTGGAGATTGTTTTTAAATAATTTTGTGTTTTTCATATTCTTAGTTGATTATTTGTGCATATAAAATTTTATTTATTTTCATTTTCGTGGTTCTTGTTGAATGCTAAAATTTGGGTTCTAAGTTTGTGGACAGTAGCGATAGGATAGCCTTCATCATACCAGAAGTTGGTCGACCCTTAGGAAAGTCATAAGCTGCAATGGATTGTTTTAGATTCTCATAAGGAACACTTACAATTTGTGTTCTTTGCAATTTGAATACCCACGACATTATGTATTGTCTCCAAAGTGAATATTTTACAGAGCTTGTGCAGAATTATATTAATATGAGGTGCAACTTTCAAAGGCCTAGGTG